GTGGAAAAACAGCACACGGTGAGAATTTGGCTGAATTTTTGCAGTCTATCTGAAATACAGTTAAAAAAGGTTCTGGTTGAAAAGACAGTGACACGCCACCGTGTAGCTGGAAGTGGTGTTTAGGGGTGTATTTGTCAGAACTCCTTCTGTGAAGCATCAGTAAACAGATATTTACCGGATATGTAAATGTTTCGCAAACTCCTCCTCCTCATATTCTGACTTGAGGCTTTTGTTTTTGTAAAACTACTTTTCCAAGGTCAAAAATGAAGTTCTGCAAGTCGACATAAAATATATTTTAAGACAGTTTTACACCAACCTGTGAATGATCTGTACCTGTAGATAAACAGGGCTACTTTTTTCCAAATAGAACAGCTTGAGATTTATTATTTATTTTTTTCATTTTTTTTTTTTGACTCTACTGAAAAGTTGCCTGCCTTCACCCTGAGTCCGCTGGGATGGGCTCCAGCCCCCTGCGACCTTGGTGAGGATTAAGTGGTGTATAGATAATGGATGGATGGATTTCACACTATAAGAGTTTCTGCAATTAGACCAAAATGATTTTTTGATCATCAAGCACTCAGGTTTGATACCAGCCCTTGGCTACATAACATTTTAAACAAATGAGAACATCAGTTTTTGTCCTTCAAGATGGATCATATAATAAAGCCTTTAAAAATATTTTTCTCCAGCAAGCCCCGTAAGAACAGTGACTTCTGTGCAGTGGCACTTCCCCATCAGATAAGACACGAGCTGACAGTGTATTCTTGCTCAGCTTCTGCTTCAAAGGGCTGCACACCTCCAGCTGACGCTCTGACACCACAGCCTAGTCAATCTATTACAGACACCCAGCACACAGTGTCTCACAGTGTGAGCTGTGATTTACATTCCACCACTCTACAGTGCACCACTGTGCCACTACAATAGTACAGTGTCTGACAGATCATGAAGCTAAAACTTTCCAATCCGGGCCTGGAGGACAGGATATTGTCCCATCAGCAGCTGGACAAGCTGGAGGATGCCGAGGCTGGAGAAAGACCGTCATGGGGCAGCAAGGCCCAGTACATGCTGACCTGCGTGGGGTTTTGTGTGGGGCTCGGAAATGTGTGGCGTTTCCCCTACCTGTGTCAGAGTCATGGAGGAGGCAAGTAACATGTTCACGGTTTGACTATTTCCAATAATCCATCCATTATCTATGCACTGCTTAACCCACCTTTCCCAAACGAGCACATTCACAGCTAATCATCAGTAAACCTCATTATGTTTTTGGACTGTGGGAGGAAGCCAGAGAACCCGGACAGAACCCACGCTGCACAGGTAGAACATGCAAACTCCACGTGGAAAGATCCCAGGCGTTCTAACCGGGGATCTTCTAGCGAGGCGACGGTGCTACCCACCAAGCCCACCATTTTCAATAATGCTTTTTGAAAATCAATCCAATCCAGACCTGCTAGAAGAATACAGGAGATGATTCCAGTACAATCCATGTTAACATTACATTTATATTTTTTCTGCATCATTTATGTGGTAACAGAAAAGCTCTCTAAAAATATTTTCTGCCTGCTAATGCTACAAAGAGTATATTTTAGAAATGTTTTTACATGAGCATATTTGAATTTTTACATAGTTTTTATTTGCATGGTGAAATAGTTGCTTTGCCTTTACATTATACTCTTGCAAACCAGCCTGCCTTGAGCCTTTAAACCCCCCAGTGAGTTTGAAAGGCATGGTAACTCTTTTTAATAAAATAAAATAAAAAAAACCCTCAAAATTGCACCATTTTCCAACGACAGAAACTGTAAAAACTAAATTTTCAAATTTCAAACATCAATTGAGCTAATCATGCATCATGTGACATCGGTTAAGTCTGGAAAGTTAAGCAAATCTACAATTCTACAGAAGCTTTTATCCAAAGCGACATACATTTGCGAGTGGATACAACACAAGCAAGGATCTAGTCAGGAGAAAACAATCTAGATAAGTGCCATAGAACAAATTCAAGTGTGTTAGGGCGTTGATGCCAATAGCAGGCTGTGTGGGAGGCAACAGAAATTTTCATTTTTTTTTTATTTTCCAGTCTGTCAAGTGCATAGGTGTTCAGTGAAGAGCTGGGTCTTTTCTTAAAGACTGAGAGGGAATCAGCAGATTGAACAAAAACTCCACCACCAGGGAACCACAGAGGAGAGAAAATCTGAGCTTAAAATCATGATATTTCATTAAAACCACATTATTCTCCATGTTTTATTTTAACCAGACCCCTTAAAACAAAACAAAAAAATCTGTTTCTTATCGCAAGTGAGAAGCCAAAAGTGTCTCAGCTGCGACCAACAATTTGACAAAAACAATCTGTGAATATTTGGCTGAACTGCAGGTTGAGAGGAGACAAACATAGAAACAAATGAGCGAGAAAATTTAACATGATTGATCAAAAATGGGACACTGAAGAGCAAGAGTCTCCACATGTGCTCACGTTTCCTGAATGATCAACAACAAGGTGTTGTATTTTTATAGTCTATAAAGTCTTCAGTGTTAAAAAAATAATATTCAGATTAACTGTCACCACGACCATTTACATTATCTGTTGTGTTTCTGCAGGTGCATTTATAATCCCGTTTCTCATCCTGATGGTTCTTGAAGGAATCCCGCTTCTCTATCTTGAGCTTGCTCTCGGCCAGCGTTTAAGAATGGGCAATGTGGGAGTGTGGGCTGCAATCCATCCTTGTCTAGCTGGCATCGGTAAGCAACAGATTACATAATATTTGCAAAACACTCGAGGAAATGTGCTTTAAATAAAACCTTTCGCTTGACAGGTATCGCATCCATGTTCATATGTTTGACAATAGCCCTCTATTACAACACCATCATTGCCTGGATTATGTGGTACTTATTCAACTCATTCCAAAACCCACTGCCTTGGAGCCGATGTCCACTGAACGCCAATTTAACAGGTAGTGCCGCAACTAATGATGTACTTTGGCAAAAATGGAAAGTGATGTTGGAAAACTCTTTGCCTTGGTGACACATGCTGTAAATTCTGTCAGGATTTGTCACAGAGTGTGAGAGGAGCTCTCCCGTGGATTATTTCTGGTACAGGGAAACTCTGAACACAACTCCAACCATAGACGAGGGTGGTGGGCTGCAGTGGTGGATACTGCTATGTCATGTTTGTGCCTGGTCTTTGCTCTATATCTGCACAATTCGCGGGATTGAGACCACTGGGAAGGTACGGCACAGTGTCTACTACACTGAAACACAACACTTTCATTCATCTAAACAATAACTCTGTAAATATTCCATTTTTTCCCCCCAAGGCTGTGTATGTGACTTCAACCCTTCCCTTTGTGCTGCTGACTGTATTTCTGATCAGAGGATTGACTCTGAAGGGCTCTGTAGATGGAATCAAGTTTCTCTTCACACCAGATGTGAGTTGCTTTTTTTTATTTATTTTTTTTATTTACTTCAGATAACAAGAATGCATTGAACACCCAAATAATAAAAATATGTTTTGATGCCATTTGGAAGTAACTGGATACCATTTTTACTGAAATAGAAACCAGATTTGTATCCATCTGGTGCGAACTAGTAATCGAATGTCTAGCCATTTTAATCCTTAACTATCATTCCATCTGAAGTGGTGCAAAAAAGTTAACAATTGAAGGAAAAACCAACATGAAGGTAGCTTTGTAAAGCGTTGAACCAAAACGTGCCAAAAGAACAGCTTCATTGCACTTTGGCATTGATTCTCCAAAGTCTCTAGAACACTAGTGGAGGAACTGAACCTCATTTTTCCAAAAGATATTTCCTCATTTGCTGTTTTAATTATGACGGCAGAGAATGTAGTTGAACACCCAAAATCTCCCACAGTTATTTAACTAAGTCAAAATCTGGTGGGGCCATAGCATTGGATTCACATAATGGATGATGGCCATTTGAGCCGTAATTGTCTACGATGCAAATTCTCTCAGTTAACAGAGCTGGGGAAACCAAAAACATGGCTGGATGCTGGCGCTCAGGTTTTCTATTCCTTCTCTGTGAGTTTTGGTGCCCACGTTTCCTTCGCCAGCTACAACCCAGTGCAGTAAGTTTGGCATTTTGTTCTAAAACGCATTAGTTATACTAAAAAGGTAATTACATCGCACTTCATTTACCTTCTAGTAACAACTGCAAAGTGGATGCAGTGGTCATTTCCATCATCAACGGCTTCACGTCCATCTTCGCTGCAACTGTCATTTACACCATCATTGGTTTCAGAGCAGCAGAGAGGTTTGACAACTGTCTTTCTGGGTATGTTTACGCCTTTTTGTCCAACAATACATTTTATCTGATCACACATTTTCTCTATCAGGAAGACATTTACCTGAAAGTTGTTTTTTTTACTCTGATTACTTTTGGGGTTTTAGAAACATCCTAGCATTACTAAACGCATTTGACCTCACTGAAGACAGCATCACTGACAGCAACTACGACAAGATGGTTCAAAGTCTTAATGAAACCTACCCTGACGTTATTCAAGGGATGGATCTGAAAACCTGCGACATGGAAACTTTTCTCAGTGGGGTAAGATTTCATTTGGTCTGTGCAAGATCAAGACAGCAGCTTCATCTACAAGTAATTTTCAAATGATCCATATCATGTTTTGCGACATGTTTTCCGGGCCTATAGGGAGTTGAAGGGACTGGTCTGGCCTTCATCGTGTTCACCGAGGCCATCACCAAGCTGCCTCTGTCGCCGTTGTGGTCCGTCCTGTTCTTCATAATGCTTTTCTGTCTTGGCCTGTCTTCTATGTTCGGGCTCTTGGAGGGAATTGTAGTACCGATACAAGACCTCAAAGTCTTCCCCAAGACATGGCCAAAAGAAGCAGTAACTGGTAACTTCACATCTATTCTTTCATTTTTCATTAATAAATGACCTAAAGCGAATTTCACAAAACTTTACAGTGGGAACATTTTGTGCATTTGCAACAGAAACTCATAGAAAGTATTTTGCTGCACGGGTGACTCTTGAGAATTCTGAAAGTCTTTTAAAAACAGGTTTGTGTTAATGATTAAACTAAAAATCATTGAAACTAGGATTTAAAAAATAAAAAACACCTCAGGTACCACCGCAACCCTCACAGTTGTGCCAACCATAGTCACGTCCCAGTGGGCTTCACTTACATGCATCGTGTTTGGACTTCAGAGGTTCCCAGTCTCCCCAGTATATGGCAGCCTGCTTCACTGAAGAAAAAAAAAAGGGGGGGGGGAGAGAAGAGAATCACAAAGCAAAGAAACCGGAGCAGGAAAACCACCTCTGGTTTGAGGCATTGACACGATGGGTAGGACAACAACGGGCTAAGCAAACACATCTGATTGAAACTAGAACATCATGCAATCACTACAGAGGTAGTACAGAGAAGTGAAGCCAGGATTTTGCTACTTCCTGGTTTGAGGTGTTGGATTTTTGGAGCCAAAAAAAAAAGAATGAAAGAGGGCGGAGTCGGAGAGCAGTGATTGGTCAGACTGACTGAGAGCCGACGCCTTTTTACCCGCCCACATATACCGGCTGCTGGTGTGTTCACTGACCTTTTTATCCATAGACTGTATAAAAGATGGATGTAACTAGCGAGGCGTCACCCGTTGGTTTCTGCACTGAGAAAATGAAGCCAGGGTTTTGCTACTTCCTGGTTGACATCTTGGATTTTTGGAGCAAAAATCGTCGGAGGGGGGCGGAGCCATAGGAGCAGCGATTGGTCAGATGGATTGAGAGGCGGGCCCTCTCTGCCCGCCCACATTTACCGCCTTCTGCTGGCTTCGTCTGTATGGTCGCTGCCGACTGTCAATCAAGCCAGCCACGCCCCTTGCCCCACAAAATGTTGACGATTTTTTAAAAATTCAGTACTGATTTATTTTCAGATTGGCCACCTGATCTCTGAATTTGATTATGAAAACTAATAAGAAAAAAATCCTGAGCTGGAGGAATGCGGTATTTCGTGATCTGTGATCACTTCTTTTTTTCATGATCTGAGTTTTCATGTTTACAACTGGGCTCTATGGGAGTCAGAGCTTCTCAGTGCCAGCACTTGTCAGATGTAGCGGTATTGCAGGTGTTTGACCCTTCCAGGTTGGCTTCATTTTTCAGTGCTACGTCCGTCTTTCTTAGGATGAACACAGACCAACAGGTGTCTTATGCAGCCACTTCCTGATTGGAGGAATTAAAGTCATACTTGAGGCTGCGTTCACTGAACCTATGCATAATGAGATGTTCATCTACACTTGGGGAGCATTTCCCATCACACTATGCACATATTTTGAGCGCATGTGAGTGAAGGTCAGAGTGTGTGAATGTATTTTGGCGTACAAGTGCCAGAGACTCTTGAGTTCCAACACTTTAAAAAAATAATAATAATCTGACTTGTAGCAGATGCTGATTATGGCAGTTAACGGTTAAACGGACCAACAAAAAGCCATTAACCTTATTTCTGTGACTTAGCTTAATCAAAGAAAATAAAATTTCCTGCATTGAATGCTAGAATGTTTGTAAATTAGAACTGCTGGTATCCCTACTCTGATTAAGAAGTGAATGAATGAAATAATCCAGATTCAACACTGTTTGAAAAAGGATGTCCTGTCAGTTATTTAGGCCCCAAGTACATCTTAGCTTTTTAAAATCGTTTGTAAGGTTCTACTCTGGCGTTTAAACAAAGTGTGTTGCTTTGGAATTTCACATTTTTAACCCTTTTCCTCAATGGCATGTTACACGAATGACTATAAGCACAAATAATATTTGAATGGTGCTCTTAAAACAATCTTTTAAAAAAAAACAGGAGGGGGTTTTAAAATCAGAAATTTATGGCTAAAATCTTGTTAGAAGTCCTAAACTTGTGTCAGCTTATCATTTTAAATGGAAAACAAAAAGAAAAGTTCTGCTGCAGCGTGTGCCTACATAACTAAAAGAAACACCTGATGCAATATTACATCATGCTGCTATATATGTAGAATATTTGAACAACAATTACAATTTCAAGGGCAGACACACTTCCTCACAACTGTAGTTAATCCCTTCAGCCCACGGCCACCCTTTTTTAAAAAAAAATGTCCACCTGTAAAAACATGCCTAAACTCAGTCAGTTCCAGCTGCAAAGCCATGAGGCCAAAATGAACAAGATAATGATGGATAAGAGACATTTGGGAGAATTTTGAAATACAATGAGACTCCTTGTCTGCATCACCAGGAAGTCATTTTCACTTCCATCTAATTGGAGCAGTACATCGGAGAGTAAATAATAACCTCACAGCAGAGAGTCAGAGACACTGATGTTATTGAACCTATTTTTAAAACCTCTCAGCTGCAAATCGAACAAACTATCAACAATCCTGCATCCAGTGTAGCCATATTAGTGATAGGTAGCCTCTCAACTCAATGCGCGACACTTGGCAACTTATGAGAAATGAAAGAGAGGAGGTTAAGTTGTTTTTTTCTGCAGTCTCTTATACATACATACTACTATACATTTTGCCCCTTCATTTTTGTGCCTATGCAAGGTGGCGCAGTTGGTTAGCACTGTTGCCTCGCAGCAAGAAGGTCGCCGGTTCGCGTCCCGGTGGGGGCACTGGGATCTTTCTGCGTGGAGTTTGCATGTTCTCCCCGTGCAGCGTGGGTTCTCTGGCTTCTTCCCACAGTCCAGAAACATGTTGAGGTTAATTGGTGATTATAAATTGTCCGTAGGTGTGAATGTGAGTGTGCTTGGTTGTCTGTCTCTAAGTGTAGCCCTGTGATAGACTGGTGACCTGTCCCTAAGTCGGCTGGGATAGGCTCCAGCCCCCCATGACCCTAGTGAGGATTAAGCGGTGTATAGATAATGGATGGATGGATTTTTGTGCCTATAAAAAACAAATGTAAGCATACAGCCTCATTGCATCGATTCTTTTCTTCAGGTGTGACGTGTGGCCTCTGCTGTCTGGTGAGTCTGATATTCCTGCAGGGTTCAGGGAACTACTGGCTTTCTCTCTTCGACGCCTATGGAGAATCCATCCCAATGCTGGTTATTGCATTCTGCGAGATGGTCTCAGTGGTGTACATATATGGGATAGACAGGTGACATATAATGCATTATGTTTTACTCTGTTTGCTGTCTGTTAAGCCCTGCACAAAGATGGTGTCATGATTTATAAAATGCATGGCGGTGGTATTATAACAATAGAAGTTCTGCACAGCTGCTAGATAAGGGTCACTTATGATTTATCTCAACTGCTTCTGTGATTAATAATGTCCTTCAGAATGCCTGTAGGTCCGACTAAGGCACTGCTGAACTTAAGAGACGCTTGTTTGCTGTTCTGTTGTCTTGACAATGCAGTGTGTGTGTGTGTTGCTATTCTCCTAGATTCAACGATGATATAAAGTTCATGATCGGACACAAACCCAGCTTCTTCTGGCAGGCATCGTGGAGATTCATCAGCCCGCTGATTGTGCTTTTCATCCTGATCTTCTACCTCATCACCATAGTTACTGAACCATTCCTTTACAAAACCTGGGATCCTGAATCGGTAAATAGAAACTTATTCACACCCTAAAATTATGCAGATGGAGCTTCATTAAAAACTCAAAATACTTTTTTAAAATTTCTTTGCAGGAGAAATTCCCGATGTTGGAAGAAAAGTCTTACCCAGACTGGATCCATGTGATCATCTTCATACTGGCCGGGAATCCCAGTTTAATGGTGCCTGTAGTTGCTATCTGGAAATTTGTACAGAAAAGGAGAAGGGGTGAATAAAATCTAGATAATATATTGGACTAAATTTAAATAAAATCTGATATGATAAAGTAGCCAGACTAACCTAACTAACATAAATGTTAAAGTTAACAACCCCAAACTAATTCCCTTACTAATTTAAAAAAATTAAGGTTTAAACCTCGAAAAAAAAGCACATTAAAAACCCAGTGACCCAAAGATTCTCCATGAGCAATCATATTAGGGGGCATTTTGTTGTGTTAATGACATTGTGGAATATGTTTGCTTTGAGGGAACATAGTATGCACCGTTAGGGACAGTTTAGTGTCATCTGTTCTTTAATCTCTGTTGCATGAGGACGGTCTGTATCTGATATTATGTCTCAGGTGAGCAGCTGACAATAACTTACTTTGCTATATTTAAAAAACCAGCTTGCATTCTGTGTTTAATGTCTGCAAAGAAAAGAAAAATCGCAGCGCTTTTCTTAGCTTCTGTCTACTACGGATTTCACAGGTCAATGCTTCGGTGGAGTTAAATGTGATCTGACAGCCGTAATCCATCATGCGATTAAGTAATTAGATTCTAAGATAGGGAGGAGGTGTTGTCCGGGAGGGAAGCCGCACAGTGAAGGTACATGCATCTGTCCAGCTGGGGTCACTGTTGTGACGCGTCAACGGTGCTGCGTGTTCGAGAAGTGAATTAAATATTGATTAAATCAGATGCACATTGTCACGGCCGTAAATAGGGGCTCTGTTGTTGTTGTTGTTGTCTCCCGGGCAATTTTGAGCATCAAATGCTTCATTTCCTGCATTCTGGTGAATTTTTATGCACCCATTTGTGCCTCTTCTGCATCAATTTGTGGTGGAAATGTCTTCATTTATGCAAGGGAAACATGAAATTTAGGCAGCAGGTGGCAATTGGAAATATACTGCAGTAAAACCCTTTAGAAATTCTGCTTTCAACTTCTTGTTCTGGTCCTCTTTTGAACCCTTTGTTCACTCTTTAAACGTGGCACCTATTTGAGGCAATGACAAACTGATATGTTTTAATTAATATTTAAATCCCTGGACTTCTGTAGCTCATATGCATTTCTGCAAGATTTTGGTTTAGATCTTTGTGCGCATTCAGAACATAACATACATCCTTTGTTGCAGGCTTTGTTGGATCTTTGAGTAAACATGTAGCAGTTCTTAGCTTCTGTTTTTATTTACATATTGGCAGGAACACATCAGGCTCCAGTTTCTGTATTTTTTTCTGATTCTAAAGTTGTGACTTCACTCTGTGCCTTCTGATTTCCAGTTAGGAGTAATAGATGTGGCTGACAGTATTTTGCATGAATTCGATACAGAATAGATATTCAGCACAAGACAAGATGTGTGTGTGTTGTTTTTTCCCCCAGTGTATTTACTATTAAATGAAAATAACTCAGACTGTGTGGCAATAACTGTAATGTAAACCGCATCACGTGACAAATAAAAACTGCATGTGCACTATCACAGCTTTATTTCCTGGGTTCCTTTATTCACCCCGCACCGTGTTACAATCAACCGTTATTGCCTCCGTTATCAGCATCATATCTCGCCGCTTTAGAGAAAGGCTTTTTATTAAACAAGCCTCACTGTTCCCACGGCTTCAAGAGCCAACAAGAAACAAGAGGCTGATAAAGCAAACGTCGCCCCTTTCGTCTCCTGATACAAACAAGTCACCAGGTCCTCCCATTCTCTGTAGACCGAATGCACGTCAGACTAAAAGATCTGTGCTGGTCTTGTAAATTACACCAAAAATGACAGGAGATAAAGAAATGATGGAGGGAGAGGATGGCAATGAAATGACGGAGGGAGAGGATGGCGGTGCTGAGGAGAAAGAGATCACTGAAAGGCCAAAATGGGACAATAAACTCCAATATTTGCTAACCTGCATAGGTTTTGCTGTGGGACTTGGAAATGTGTGGAGATTTCCATATTTGTGTCAAACCTATGGTGGAGGTAAGAAGATTTTGTGCCATTATGTAAAGCACAAAAAGTCCAGTTGGCGTTTGGGTTTTCCAACATTTTTCAGCACTTATGTAAAGGCTCTCTCGCAGAAATGTGTAATAACTGCTCTTAATTCTGCTGTAGAAAGCTTTTTTTGCTCTTTAATTGAAAGAATAATCATTCCTCTGAAATAATTTATCTAACTTTCCTTTCCAGGATCCTGTGAATTTATTCCTGACTGACAGTGAAACAAGGCTGCAGATATAATGCAAATATGACTTTACTTCGATTTTCATGATGCAATTGTCTTAATTTTCTAGGGTAGACTTATTCATGTTTCTGAATATTAAGAAATATGACTTTTTGACGATGTGTCTTGTCAAAAATGGGCAAAGAATCTTCATTAATACTTAAAATTAACTGCCAAATACTTATCAGTGAATACAACTTGGGTAATTACATATTAAATATAATTTCCACATGTGTTTTCAACATGTCTCAGTGAATAGTCTTTTCCCTCACCGTCTTTCATTTGCTTCTCCATCTAAGGCTTCATTCATGCTGCAGGTAAAAGTGGCCTGATCAGATTTTTTATTTTTTTTTAATCTCAAATTTGGCTCAAAATGTTTTTGTGTGATTTTTTTTTTCAGTTCTGACTTGGTCTATTTTTATATGCGGCCCTAAATCAGATGCATGTCAGATTTTTTTTTGCAGTGCAGCTTCAGTCCTGTACAACCTGCTGCATGTGATGCCTGATGTTACTGATATTATATACTTGTAGGTCAGTTCAGGACTGTTCACAGGGGAATCTGATACGGGCCACATTTAAAAAAAACGAACAAAACTGCTATGATTGTCATGACCTTAAAAAGCACAAGGAATGCTTTGAGTTGTTGTTAGTGAATATTGCCCTATTGCAGTACATTAAAAGGCAGAACTTGTGAAGCACCTCTCCCAAAAGAGAAAGCATCTTAGTTGTAGCGTGACAGTGAACACACAACTCTTTTCTGAATGATTCTACCAGCGTAAACTATGGGATTTTTCTTGAACCAATAAGAAACGTCCTTATAGTTTATAAGTTGTTATGAATAAATACATTATGACATAGGAGCTTGTTTTTTTACACAGCCAAACAAACAAAATGTATCCGAGCATTACATACAAATTGGGCACAAAGGTTTCTGGGATTTGCACTAAAAAAAGAATCCAAATAATTTTCATGTGACGAGTAACTGCTGCACTCTTTGTATCTTCTATTTCATTCAAAGCTGTGCTTGATCTTCTCATGACAGCTCCCACTTGGATAACTCACTATAAATCATGGATACTTGAACCATTTAAAAACTGAGACAAAAGTTTTTACTACTCTATACACTTGAGCGCAAAGTCTACGGTCAAACAAGAAGGGACAACAGTTCCACTATGTGTGATGTTTGGTCTGAGTGTTGACAAAGCTCTGCGTGGTGATAATAAAATGCCCAGTGAACGGAAAGTGAATGACCTTCAAACATGAAGGCAACAAAGCTGTTTGCTTTAAAGGTGACGTCAACTACCTAATGAAAAAAAAAAATTCACTTGTGAGTTGTTTTGGTGTTTATTGTCTAATTATAGGTGCGTTTCTGATTCCTTATCTCATTGCGTTGGTGCTGGAGGGACTTCCACTGCTGCACATTGAACTGGCCATCGGACAGCGGCTCCGTCTGGGAAGTGTTGGAGTGTGGAACTCCATCTCACCATATCTGGGAGGTCTCGGTAAGAAGGTCGGGCAACAGTGAACTTAATTAAAGAAAACCAGAAATGGTAATGTCATGTAAAACGTCTATATCTTATCCACAGGTGTTGCTTCCATGATGGTGTCCTTCCTTGTTAGTATGTTCTACAACATGATCCTGGCCTGGATCCTCTGGTACTTCTTCCACTCCTTTCAGGATCCCCTTCCCTGGAGGAACTGTCCAGTAAACTTGAATCATACTGGTAATTTCTACATCATGGCAACATCATTTATGGATAATAACCAACATAAAAAGACAGAAAGTCCCATCAGTGAGTTATAATGTTAATAATCTGTTTGCTACAGGCTATATAAGTGAATGTGAGAAGAGCTCACCGGTGAATTACTTTTGGTATCATGAAACACTGAACATAACGCCGAACATCCAGACCAGTGGGTCCATAGAGTGGTGGCTCGTGTTGTGTCTCGCATCCGCTTGGTGCCTTGTGTACATCGGCTTCATACGTGGAATTGAGACTATTGGAAAGGTAAAGCATTCAATTGAATTCAATTTTAAACACAAATATCTGACTTTATTTGTTTGCTGGGGCCAATTTAGGGCAAGTAGAGCAGCTGGACACGGAACAGTAACAACAACTGTACAATAGTAGTAGCAGCCATGTGGTCGTTAAAATAGGATGCATAAAATAAAAATGTAATAGATTTTGTGGTGACAACAAGTAATGTACATAAGGGGCTAAAATGGTTCAGAGGTGCAAAGTGACAGTGCATGAATTCAGCAGAATGTTTAAATAAGTAACAGAGTTACAGTATTTACATGAGGTGTAATTAAAGGTGCAGGTGGACTGAACATAAATAAATTTAGTGTACTGCCATGAAGTATGGTTGCTTTAGTTCAATACAAACCTGAAACTGATTTTATTTTATTGATTTTATCAACTAGCCCAGATTACTCAAACCTGCATTCTTTCTAACGACCAGCAGGGGGCTACTCCTCTAAATCCATCCATTATCTATACACTGCTTAATCCTCAATAGGGTCATGGGGGGCTGGAGTCTATCCCAGCTGACTTAGGGTGAAGGCAGGGGACACCCTGGACAGGTCACCAGTCTATCACAGGGCTACACTTAGAGACAGACAACCAAGCACACTCGCATTCACACCTACGGACAATTTAGAATCACCAATTAACCTCAACATGTTTTTGTACTGTGTGGGAGGAAGCCGGAGAACCCAGAGAGAACCCACACTGCACGTGGAGAACATGCAAACTACTCCTCTAAATGCAAAAAGAAAACAAATTTATGAGAAACTGACCCTACTTCAAGCTTTTTCAAATACAGCATTGTATTCAGTTTGCAAGTTATGGCTTGAGTTGGTGAAAAACAGATGATAGAGGTGGTTATGTTTGAGGGCTGCCTTGCCTTGATCTATAGGGTGCTAGTGTTCCACTGTGCATACGAGGTGTGTCAGAAAAGTTTAAGGACTGGTGTCACAAAATACATATTTCAAATCCAAACTACAAACTACCAGTTTTCCCCTTCGAAGTAATCCCCCTGGAATCTAACACACTTTCCCAGCCTTCTCTGCCTTCACGCCGCCGTGCACTCCTGGAAGGATTCTTCCAGGATCCTCCTCAGCACCATCGTCACAGCCATCTTGATGTCGTCCACATCTTCAAAATGCGTCTCCTTGAAGAGGAAAAAATCCCCAGGTTGGGTGAGTAGGGAGGTTGCTCCAACATGTTCTTCTCAGCCAGGAACTGTTGGATGCTCAGGGCATTGTGAGCAGGCGTGTTGTCATGGTGAAGTATAGCCGCGACTTGTCTTGCCACAACTCTCACCTCTTCTGGTGCACTGAACGAAGCAAACGTCACAGGATCTCTTTGTAGACGTGGGAAAACTTGTAGTTTGTAGTTTGTGTTTGAATTATATCTTTTGTGACACCAGTCCTGGAACTTTTCTCACATACCTTGTAGATCTTCAGGTTCTTTAAGTCAGACACTTTGCTCATTTATTATGTCCAGTTTTAAAAGATAAACATGGAGGTCTACAAAGTTGTGGTTGCGATCGCTTATACACCCATCTGTTGGATACAGTCTATGGCCCAAATACAATTAATTGCAATTGCACTGTTGGCATCCTCACAGTAACATTGACTTCCTTCACACAGGTTCACATGAGCTAAAAGTCAAGCTAGAATATGAAATATAGAAGTCTAAGTAGAACTACAGTTGCCTTATCAGCCTTAGTTATTAAAGGTAGAAAGGGAGAAGTGCATCCTAACGTAGACTTTACATCAACGGCAAGATCCCATCCATCATCTATACACCGCTTAAGCCTCACTAGGGTCGTGGGGGGCTGGAGTCTATCCCAGCCGACTTAGGGCGAAGGCAGGGGACACCCTGGACAGGTCACCAGTCTATCACAGGGCTACACTTAGAGACAGACAACCAAGCACACTCGCATTCACACCTACGGACAATTTAGAATCACCAATTAACCTCAACATGTTTTTGGACTGTGTGGGAGGAAGCCGGAGAACCCGGAGAGAACCCACGCTGCACGGGGAGAACATGGAGACTCCACACAGAAAGATTCCGGTGCCCCCACCGGCAAGTTACGAACACAAAATTTAAAAATTCAATAGCAAGAAAAATCTGTTGCCAGAAAAACAAAATAAAGAGGAAAAGAAGTTCAGCCAAAGCGGTGCACCAATAATGTTGTTCAGCAATTTTGTTTTTTCTTATGTTTTTTACCAGTTATTATGCACTCTAGTTGACTTTGCATTAAAAAGGAAAAATGGGCTGGAATTTAAAAGTATGAAGCATTCACTTTCCTTGATTAATAATCAAGTGACAGAAAGTGTTTTTGCCTCTTTGACCTTGTGCTCTCTGACAAAACAATCTACACACTAACAAAACTTTAAGTGCAACCAAGTTAAAGATGCTTTGTGGGTTTTCCTTTTCCAACGGTGCGTTACAGCTTTTTTTGTTCATGCAAATGTCTCCAGACTTCTGGAACTCAAAGTCCACACCAGAATAGGTTGTTCTAGCTTCTCACCTGCCTAAAACCACTGCCTCTGGAGTCCTTGCTTCTCCTCTGTTACTCATCTACACACCTGCTTGAAACGCCTCATTAAGGTCCAGGCTTTTTTTCCCCCCTGTAACTTATTTACATCATCAGGCAACCAATTTGCATAATGCCTGTGTGCACAAGCAGTGGTTCATTTGTCAGATTGTTTATCCACTGCTCCCACGGTGGCAAATTTATGTTCAATTAGTCAACTATAACTGACCAAAGCAATCAATGTTACACTGATTTTATTAATAGTTCACAAAGTTGCAACTCATTTATCTGCTAAAAGAACAAGATGTCACTGGCATCTAGAGGATGATGTCCACATTGCCTCGAGCTGTTGTTGTTAGAAGTCAGATGACCGTTATGTGGCAGACTAATGACGCCATTTTTTTGTAACTAAATGAGTTGCAACCCAACTTTAGACGTCAACAGTTAGACGTTCGCGCTGAAATGAGGTCTTCAAACAAAATGAAATGAATTTTTGCTGCCTTTTCATGTAGACTAGAGGGAAAAACAAATTAACTCATTGTGCCGCGTAAAGGCAACCAGCAGCTACCGGCAACTCTTAAGGTGGAATATTTTCTTTCATATTGCCCAATGCATGAGCTGTGAACCGATCAAAACACCTTAAATGTCAACAGGACAACTCTTGTTTCAATTGGCTCTCCCACCTGGAATATGAAAATGAATTTCAACCAGATAATGCAAGTATTTCCTCTCTTATGGAAACAAAACGTGGAAAAGCAATGTTCTGGTGCTCTCTGAAAGCACGACACTGACGATGACACCTGCCGAGCTGCTGGTTTGTCATGCTTCCTCCCAGTTCACCATTATTTCCCCACAAGAGCTGCTACTACTAGAGCCACGTCTGCATGTACAGATTGATCTGGGGTTATGGTATAAAACCATAGAGAAAGTTTCCTAACTTTCTCCAGGCCAGCTGACCAATCAGAGCAGACTGAGCTTTTCGGGATGGAAGCCTTAAAGAGACGGGAGGTAAAATTGAGTGGTTGTGGCTGAAAAAAAGGTGTTGCACTAACTGGTAGTTTGAGAGAAATAATATGTATTTTGAACATTAAAGCCTGTAAACATTTTCTTGTGAATGCCAAAAACAAAATTCTATGGGCTCTGTTAAAAGGAAATGGTTCTATATTTCTTTCTGGTTGCACTTTATGAAAACATGAACTACTTTGCCCTCATTCACACTTTATCAACAGGCTATTTATGTCACCGTCACCTTCCCGTATCTCGTCTTGACCATCTTCTTGATCAGAGCCTTGACTCTGCCCGGAGCAGCTGACGGCTTAGTTTATCTCTTCACTCCAAATGTAAGTCTGCTGTTAGATCTTCTGCTGAAATAATGTCATGACAAGACTGAATGGGTAAAATCTAACATCTAACAATTATGTTCATCACAGTGGGAAACCTTGAAAAATCCACAGGTGTGGCTGGATGCTGCCACTCAGATCTTCTTCTCCTTGTCTTTGGCCTTTGGAGGACTCATTGCTTTCTCCAGTTATAATCCTCAGAAGTGAGAAAAGTTTTTCTTTTTTTTTTTTATGAATGAAGAAATGAAGACAGCATAATGTACAAAACAAAGTATTTCATTTTTGCAGGAACAACTGCGAGATGGACACCCTGATTGTCGGATGTGTCAACAGTTTTACATCAATATATGCATCAATTCCTATTTTTGCCATTCTTGGATTTAAAGCTAATGAAAACTACAATACCTGCCAAAACTGGTATGTCCACCTGATTTTGTAGAGTATAAATACTAAAAACAGATTCATAATATAAAATGCTTTAAAACTATAACACTTTAATATTATAAATAATAACTTCCCATTTTTACTTAAAATGAACTGAGTAAACAAGAATTAATAATTGATGTGTTTCTTAATAATATCAACTCTTTTTTTTTTCCTTGCATGTTTTAGGAACATACTGCAGTTGACAAATGCATTTAACGTCGGGGATGAAAACATAACTGTTGCAAACTATCAAGATTGGCTAAACCATCTCAATGCAACTGATCCCTCTGAGGTGGAAAGCCTCGATCTGAAGACCTGCGACCTTCACACTTTCCTGGAACAGGTGCAGTACGTCCATTACAATAACTTCAGTTTTTTAACAGTTTTCTAAATCCCTTTTTTTTTTTGATTTTGTGATCATGCATCCTACCTTCAGAGCGCCTCAGGAACCGGCCTGGCCTTCATCGTGTTCACTGAGGCTGTGATAAACATGCCGGGATCGCAGGTCTGGGCGGTGCTCTTCTTTGTTATGCTCTTCTGCCTGGGTCTGTCCTCCATGTTTGGAAATCTCCAGGGAGTTCTGACTCCTCTGATGGACCTGCACATGATTCCAACCTGGATGCCGAAGGAGGTTTTCACAGGTAAATTCAATTACTAATATTTAAATGGAACTTACAATCACGGCACTGATACTGACATTACAAAAAAAAGAATTTGCTTTTCATGAACCAGTTTTATATTATTATTATTATTATTATTTCTGTCTTTTACATTTTTAACACAACACATTTTAAATTGTATGCACTTCATTCAAGTTGTCTGTACCATTTTTGTGTCTTTTATTTTATTTAATTAGACTTTATTCCGCTGTTTTTTGTTTGTTTGTTTGTTTTTTGCATTTTACCTTTTACATATTTAAATTTGGTGTTTTTTTGGTTTCACATTCTACATGTTTTATTTTAATTTTTTTGTACCTTTGCCTTTAAAGCTCCTTGAATAACCCCTGTGTAGATAATAATCTATATTAATAAACTTGCTTTCCAGCTGCAAGACATCTATTACTGTCTATGTATAACAGGGGTTACTATACCCCTACACCGAAGTCACATGTAAAAACCTCATCTGTAGCTTCAAAGCAAATTTGCCTTTTTTTAAAATAGAAATTTTGAAAGGAACCATCAAATTTCTAATTTCTGTTGAAGGACTTCATTGTAAATAGTCTACACTTATATAGCATCCTTTAGACCTTCCTTTAGCACCAGTAGCTACACGATGTTCACCTACCATCAGGAGCATCTTGGGGTGTCTCGCCCAAAGACACTTAAACATGTGGAAGAACCAGGGATTGAACCACCAACCTTCCATTTGTTTAGTTATTCAAAAACATATATGTGGAAACATCAGAGACCTGTACTACAAAGCAGGAAACGTTTTCATTATCTGGCATAACAAAGTCTAGCACCAGCAGTCACGCTAATCTGGTTACCAACAAGCAAAGTCAATCCAGCGTTTCTAAATCTAGCTATGAGCATCATCACACGAAAGGGGTGATAATCAGCACCACGTGGCCAATTCTAAACATCGATAGAGCTGCAGATTTCTCACAAAAAGAACAAAGTTTCCTACTGAACCAAAATGAGAATTTTAAGAATGCAATACAGGCTAAAAGTAACACAGCTGCTGCAGCCAAAGCAGGAAGGAAAGGTGGTGACATGAAGCCACGAGAAGATCTGACTGTAATATATAAACAGTTCTGTGTTCGATTATATTTAGATAAGACTGTTGTAGCGTTGTTCTTCCAGTTGCCAGCTCGGCAGTGATAAACTACCTTCAGAGCAAGTGAAGAGCAAATACAAACACATAATTCAAACCAGTAAGCAGGTTTACTGCAAATCTTACAAGGTCAATAAGTACAAGGCTTTACTAGTCTGAGTTTTAGGATTTTGTCGCTACACACAAGCAACAGAACAATAAAACGTCTTTGAAATAAAGAAGACTGTCATTCCCTCCACTCATCATCTCTTCTCCATCTCCAGAATCCACATTGTCATTAGATACCAATAGCACACTTTACTTTCAGATGGGCTTTTGAATTACTTTTGTGTAAGTTGAAGTGTTTGTAATTGCAGCACATCACTCAGCATATTATGCTTTTTATGCTTTTAGGCTTAATCTGCCTCCTCGCCTTCACCATCTCCCTCATCTTTACGTTGGGCTCCGGAAACTACTGGCTGGAGATTTTTAACAACTACGTGGGATCCATGCCTCTGCTCATCATCGCCTTCTTTGAGATCGTGACTGTGGCATACGTCTATGGGATAAATAGGTGCTACCGTAATTCATATTATCATTACTCTTGTATATAATGTGTTTGAATGATTTCACGAAGTGTTTCCATTCAGGTTTAACGATGACATTGAGTGGATGACGGGACGGAGACCAAACATCTACTGGCAGGCGACGTGGCGTTTTATCAGCCCCTTCCTGCTCTTGGTGGTTTTTGTGGCGTATGTCGTGACGGAGGCCGAGCAGCCGGCGACGTATAACGCCTGGAACCCGGATTATGTGAGAGCAGTATTTACACATCACAGTCTAGAATCTACAGTCGTCCTCAAATGTATTCATACCCTCCCATTAAAGAAGGAAATGGCTGAAATAAGTTGAAATTGACTAAAAGTAATGATAAATAAAAATGTAATGAAAATCATGACATTGCTTTTGAATTGTGGTTCAACAGAAATATATACTAAAAAAATACAAATCAAGCAAACAAGCATGATGGGACCTGTCAACTAATATTTTGTTGAACAACCCTTTGAGCCAATCACTACAATCAAGTCTTTCCTGTAACTCTCAGTCAGGCTTCTGCACCTGTTGACGGGTGTTTTTATTTTAGCCCACTGCTCTTTCTGTTTGTTTTTTGGAATTATTCTTTTCAACCACAATTCAAAAGCAACATCTTATTTCACTAAATTATAATTTAGCAAATTTTTATTTATTACTACTTTTTTCAGTTTCTAGTTATTTGAGTGACTTTTGTGAATTTTGCCTTTTCTTTAATGGAAGGGTGTGAATCCATTTGAGGACGACTGTATGAACAAAGTAAAAACACTGACTGTCCACTCTGTTGCCCCTCCACAGGTGTACTTCCCCCTTGCTGAAGTTCTGTCCTATCCTGGATGGGTCGTCGCCATCTGTGCGCTCTTGTCTGTCGTTCCGGTCGTCTCCATCCCTCTCGTGGCTTCCTACAGATTCGTAGGCTTCTTGAAGAATTACATCAAGAGCAGGCACAATCAAAATCCATATGCAAATGAAGCTTCCAGTGGGGACTTGTAAATGGAAATTTTAAGCTGCTTCATCTGATTAGTGATCATCAGCGGTACCAGCTGTCATTTGATAATTTCTTACTGCGTATATTCATTTAAAAACAAAAAGGTTATTGGGTTATTTTTTTTTTTTCATCTTTTGTATTGTATGAAACTGCATGCTTCCTATTACATTACAGCTGACATTTATTATAAATGACTAGTGTAGCATTTTGGCAGCTGTAATTTCAGTTACTTCCTAAATGAAATCTTTAATTTTGTCTTAATTCAGTGTATTTACACAGGTGTAAGAAATACAGCCGGATAACAATCAATGCAGGACAATATCCCTGAGAAAAACACAGATTACCACGGGCTGGAACTGAATGTCACATTTGTGTTGTTATTTGATTAAAAGGAGACAACAGTTAATTTCCGGTGTCGATGCTTTGAATGGGAACAAGTGGAGACGTGATGGATAAGTTGTCCGAATGCTCCGTGATAAGCATGTTATTAATTTTGATTTTTAAGTAAAAAAAAAAATAAATAAAGTGCGTGCAAGCAATGCCTCATGATTCATCTACCATCCAAGTTATTTATCAGTGTTATCTTGTGAATCGCGTTCACATCAGGACTGCTTTTGCTATCTGATATTAGCCTACTACCTGCAAGTGTAAAGACTGTTGCATGAGGCATGAGTCCTTTATGCAACTTTTTTTTGTACATCAACAGTGCATGTGGGTGTGTGAGAGTAGTCGGACTGTGTGTGTGTGTGTGTGCTCGCTAACCAAGTGTGCATGTGTGTATTTTTGAGTCATTTGAGTCCGTTACGCAGTTGTCCTTTTTGTGGTGTGGGTGGACGGTGATATTGTCCCCCGGAGGGTCACGTGCTTTGGAATATGCTGGCTGCCTTTGTTGCCTCTCTGCCTGTTCTGCTTTTCTGGCACTTTCATACAATGGTGCACTTGAACACTGCGATGTTATTAAGCCTTTCAAACTACTACGGCTTGAATTCCAGCTCTCAGGAAAGACTCGCATCCCAATGTAGGATACATGGCACAAGATACACCGTCGAGGAACAACAGGAAGGACTGAGTGCAACATCCGAACCAAGGTGACCACTGACCCCTCGCTGACCCATCAGCACTTTAATTATTGTCAGACTGCATTCAGAAAGCTTTGCAGGGCAACAACGTAAGGCTACTTTCAGGTTTGGTTTATCTAATGGCAGCTACATTTTAAATTCCTGTAATTCTCTGTTTAGCAATCTGACTTTTTTAAGTGTATATTTCAGAAAAACAAAATCTGCTGTGAGTGATGTGAAGGATATCAGATGTGGCACAATGGATAATATAGTGTTGCAAATATGCAGGAGAGGCACCAGTAGTTTGTTGAGTTCAAGTTCAAGTTCAGGGCAAATCTTTGTTGAATGAATTTGAAGGCCAGAAAAAAAAAAAAAAAGTGTTTTTAGCAAGTTTCTACAAAATTGCCTCGTTGACTTTTGATTGTCGAGTTACTTTCCTGTAAGTTAATTTGTAAATAAACTCATAAGTGGTCCAAACTTTCTTGTAGCCATTCAGAAGAAAGTAGGTTAGAAAAACTAAAAACCTTAAAGATGCCATTACCTACAGTCATGGAACAAGAACAGAACACAAAGTTTAGCTGTTTTCTGACATTCAATCCTTCTCTAGGCAATGTCCCAGCGAGCAGACGCCTCCCAGTGCGGCGGGGTCGTGGTCGAGTTTGAGTCTGACGACATCAGGGATGCAAGGGATGACAACGCTAGAACTATACCAGGTGAACTTTAAATCTAACTGGAATCTATTAAATGTGTATAAAACGCGTGCTTGTTATTTGATTCTCGTGCATTTCCTTGGAAGGTTCAGCTCTTATCTACCTCAAGGGTCCCAAGTTTCTCATCTATGTCAGTGGAGCATTGTCAATGTGGGTAAGAATCATTTCCTGAAGAGACAATAACACTTTGAAACTTTAAAAAAAACCAAAAAAACAGCCAGGTAGTCTGCTTAGTGCAAACTGTGTGACTTCATACTGGCAGCACTTTGCAAAGCAGCACATAATGATGACTTCTTGTCTTGTGTTAATCAGGGCGACCGCATGTGGCACTTTGCAATCTCTGTGTTCCTGATTGAGCTGTACGGTCACAACCTGCTGTTGACTGCGGTGTTTGGGCTGGTAGTGGCTGGGTCAGTGCTCCTGCTTGGAGCTTTGATTGGAGACTGGGTTGATCGCAATCCCAGGAATAAAGGTACGCATGCCAATTTCACACCCATCTGGAAATTTCAGCATGCAGGACATCGCAGAGCAGCGATATAGATCGGGGGGGATTTCAATCTCGGGCCCAGAAAATTTGCTGGTTTCCTATCCCACTAGGTGGTGAATTGCCTTCCTTCGATGTCTCAAGTGTAAATCAGTTCCTGATTTGATAGTTAGACTCAGCCAGCAGGACTCAGGGCACAAGGTTCACAGCCACTGACTCATATCCGTCACAGCCAGCAATCACTTTGAATGAATATGGAGTGCATTTCTCAAAGTCTGACAGAGTTTTTTTTTTTCCGTCTTCTGTTTTAGTTGCACATGCGTCTCTTTTCATTCAGAACATCTCAGTGACAATATGTAGCATTGTGCTCATGTTGGTGTTCTCATATAAGCAAAGGATTGAGCAGATCTGGGATGGATGGCTGACTGTGAGTAGAACGTTTGCTAATAGATGCTAATAATCACATTTCATTTTTTCGGTACCGTGTTGATCATGATTATTCCACAGAAGAGTCTTTGCTGTTGTGGTTCCTTCCTGTCATGTGTCCCTTGCTTGTCTCTGCTTCTGAGTTTGTGGCTACTCTGTGCTGTCATAGTAACATGTTGCATCGCAAAACTCACACAAGGTGGTTTGTTATACGGTGGTGATCGTCCTGGCAGATGTGGCAAACCTTGCAAGCACAGCACTGACCATCGCCATTCAGAGGGACTGGATTGTGGTTATCACAGGCTACAACCGAGGTCACCTCGCTGGTGAGGACATTCCCGCTCTGTTAGTGGAGGTTTATGCTCCATCTCAGCTAGTTTTGTTTGTTTGTTTGTTTTTTTCTGAGACAGTTCTACAAAATTCTAATAATATTTATTGTGGAGGAATGTTCCAGGTATGCTCTTCTTTAAGATCTGATAAAATTATCTAAATACGTTCTAAAAATGATCTTAAAGCATTTGCCGAATGTTGTATTGAGATTCCTTTGTTTTCATCTAACATTTTGAGAATGCTTTATGGAAGAACGTTCTACATGTATTTATGTATTTTCTCAAGAAAATCCCCAAAATATTGCAGGCAAAATGTTCTACCTTTGTTCATATCTCAAAAGTCTGAAACTATTTTAAAAGCATTTTTTTGAATGTTGGTTTAATAACGTTCTGCCTTTTTTATCATACAACCTGACAGCGTCCTCCGAACGTCCTCTGAACGTTCCAATTAAAACTTTTAACCTCACGGGAACACTATTTAAAATTAGAAATATCTTTGAACGGTTTGAACTTTAGAACAGAGGTTTTCCTAGAACATTATTAGAACTTGTAGGTAATGTTGTTGTTGCTAGGATGCTGTAGGATTACATCATTGTTGTGCATGATAAATACTTAAATTACAGAAAATATCAGATATTTATTTGTCTCTGCTCTTGCTTAAAGTCCCCCAGCGGACACACACTAACCTCTGTGTGTTTGATCCAAACAAAAGGAATGAATGCAACCATGAGGCGGATAGATCAGGTGACTAACATCCTGGCCCCACTAGCAGTGGGACAGGTCATGACCCTGGCCTCCAATGTAGTCGGCTGTGGCTTCATCCTGGGCTGGAACCTGGTGTCCCTGATTGTGGAGTTCTTCTTCTTGTCCCGGGTTTACCGCATCGTCCCTGCTCTGTCAGTCAAACCGCCAGTGACGGAGGCAGATCAGACGTACCTGCAGACGATAGAGAGGAGGAGGTCACAAGGTATGGGCTGATCACTGGACTTGTTAACAGTTTCTGAGTTCTGGTTTTACGGTTGCGGATTTTGTTTTTTTACAGAATCTGTTTAGTGCAAAATCTTTTACTTTTTTTGTCAAATTTTAAATGAGACAAATAGAATAAAGGGATTTTGATGAAATATTACAATAGTGAGATTTGTGCCAATGTATTTTCATGCAGCTTGAAGGATGTCAGGGTTAGAAAACAGATACTTTCACACAAAATAATATGACAAGCATTTGTTTAGTTATGAAATGCTGCAATTAGCCTGAAGCCATCTTCTACAACAGACTTAATGGGTGCTCTTAGTGCTGTAAGTATTAATACTGTAATATATGATGCTGGACAATCACATCAAATGCACTACAGGCATAAAAGAAAAAAGCCCCACAGCTTTCTTAAAGCATGAATGATTTTAAGTCTTCAGTCCATGTCATCAGCATTCTATGTAAAGCTTGTGTGGATTAATGTAGATGGACTGCATCTGACAGATGATGTTTGACAACAGATGTGCTGAGGATTGGGCCTTCAGAATTAATGAACAGAAGTGATGAATGTTGTTCTTCTGTCTCATTAGCGGAAAGCAGTGTTGCACCACCTCAGCCTCTGACAGAGGGCAATTGCAACTCCAGAGTGCACCTGAAAGAAATCACCAACCTGCCGCTGTGTTTCCGGAGGTTTCGCTGGCTGGTGAGCACCTGTAAAGATGGCTGGAGGGCCTACTATCGCCAACCCGTCTTCCTGGCAGGAATGGGCCTGGCTTTCCTCTACACCACAGTTCTAGGGTTCGACTGCATCACCACCGGCTATGCCTACACTCAGGGCATAAGCGGATCCCTCCTCAGTCTGCTGATGGGCGTGTCAGCCATCACAGGGTTGATGGGCACCGTGATGTTCACCAGACTCAGGAAGACCTATGGCCTGGTCAACACAGGCATCATCTCAAGCTGCCTCCACCTGGGCTGCTTGCTGCTGTGTGTGTGCTCCGTGTTTGCCCCTGGCAGCCCTATGGATCTTAGCTTGCTGATGCCCTACATTACCTCCAATTCCTCTGCTGAGCTCGGCGGGATGGCAAGCCAAAGGCAAAAACACACTTATCCTCTGACGGGAGGCAGCAATCAGCCACTGCTGCCCGACCGCTCCTCCATCCACTGGACCAACAACACTGTGCTGTTTGACAATGTGCCATCTGGCACAGCACCGGAGTCCTACATCTCCATTATTCTGCTGTTCTTGGGTGTCATCACGGCACGTATTGGTGAGTAGACAGACTCAATGGACACTAAAACCTACTTTGTGCATGCATTGATATACAAGACATTGGGTACTGTCGATGTAGAAACCGATATTATCATCCAATAATAAGAAGATATTGCTATCTATGTTGTTTAAAGAGAACTTGAAACATGTTGAGACAATTATATTAAAAGCGTTGCCGTTATATAATCAATCCATCAGACAGTAGTGTACCGCTCACTGCATACCATCAACCATTTTAAAGCTTCAAGGTCAAGATACCCGGTGGTAGCCACCATAACGATTTGGTAACAATTTGGCCACCAGGGGGCCTCATAGTCACGATATTTAAAGATTGCAATAGTGATCCTTAACAAACCCCAGTGACAGTAGCTAGTGATAGTACACGCTTTAGTTAGCCTCATATAACCTGACTATTCTCCAGCACTGACACAGCACTGCGTAGAATGGTCTGGCACCACCTATCATTCTGACATATGGAGAAAAAAAACAAACATTGGCACGTCTGTATTTCTTTAAACCAATCACAATTGCCTTGAGCATGGCTAGGAAGAGGATGCACAGACAGTTTACTCAATATAGTGCGAATGAAATTGTTTAGTAGCATTTGGGCTCAGTGAGCACTGACTTTAAAATGGATAATCTACTGAAAAAACAAACTAGCAGGCTGCTGTATGAGCCAAATTTACAATTTCAAGTGTGTAGTTTGCTAGACTGGAAGATGTTGTGACCCATAGTGATTTATTGCACCATGTAAAGCTTCTGCAAAACTTAAAATTCCCATAATACAAGTGGTTGCCTGAAGGTTGTTCTTTCCTGAGGTGAAGTGTATCCTTAAAACAGCAACATATAGATTGCAAGGGAAGAGAAAGTCACTTAAAATGGCAGGTTTATGCCTTCGAATTAAATGGCAACTTTTCAACTCCTATGTCAACTGTGTTGTAGGTCTCTGGTCCTTCGACCTGACCGTGACGCAGCTTCTCCAGGAGAACATCTGTGAGTCAGAGAGAGGAGTGGTGAATGGAGTGCAGAGCTCCATGAATTACCTGATGGACCTGCTTCACTTCATCATGGTGATTTCCGCTCCGCAGCCGCAACACTTTGGCATCCTAGTCATCATCTCTGTATTGTTTATCACCACCGGGCACACAATGTACTTTGTGTACGCACATAAAGCCAAGAGAAAACGCCGCCTCAACACATAAGGAGCAGATGCAACTTATACATCCAGGCATGAGATGCTCACCAGCACTGAATCCACTCTGCACCTCTGAAATGAATGTCTCCCTCCCGTTCCTTCAGCAATCGTATTGCAACACCCTGCTCCTGACTTAGCCATTCATTTCAGCACAACACAGCAAGTGCCTGCCCCACCTCGGTTGCTTTCTCCCTGCAGGGCCTTGAGCCTACAGCAGCAAACAAGAACTCAGGTGACGTAGAGTGGGAGACAAGCTCTCCCTTCATGTACATAAGTTGAGGTGGCTACAACAAAAGCAGCAATGATACCTCCAGGGGGAAAATGTCCTTATCTAGCAT